GATTGGTTTGTATTATTTAATTATATGAATAATATTAAAGATAGTAGAATTGAGTTAAAGTTGAGTTAAATTTTGAGTTGAAATAAAAGTGGGTAAATTAACTCATAAACAATCAAGCCCTTAAAGAATCGATTGTTTAAGCACAAGAAAGCATCAAATTTCTAAGGCTCGTTGCTAAAATTTTAATGCATAATGAGTGTCCAAACTTCATAAATTTTCACGTAAACCTTAAGCAATCTTCTCAATGTTTTATGCTAGATCTAAGCATATAAATCTTGGGAAATATTTAATAAACTATTGCTTTGATTTTTTACCTCTCTTTTTGGATTTTGAAAAAAAGGAGGAGAGATTGGATTTGGATCGAATAGTACATGGCTCGACCTCGGCTTCTCGTGCTCACGGACGTCCTCGTCCCGGCTATTCCTCTTCGGCGGTCGGATCTCGGATCTCCTCGTCTCCTCTCGCGTCCAGGCTGCTGCTCCATGTCTCGCTCTCGATGGGGCTCGGCAACTTGATTCTCCTTGGCATGACACTCGCGGGCGGGGCTCGGCAAGGCTAGCGGTTGCTCGCGGGTGCTTGGATGGGAGGAGGATTTTGAGAGATTTGAGGGGAGAAATGAGAGAGCTTTTGGAGTGTTTTTGGGGGAGTTGGGAGTTTCTCTTTGCTGCTGGAAAGGGGCCAAAAGAATGGTGAAATTTTGTTCAAATGAGTGTATTGGAGGAGGGGAAAATAATGGGGTATGGAAGGAAGGACAATTCTTCTATGTTGGGGTGATCCTTGGCCAAAATTAAGGTGATCTTTGGGGGAATTAGGGAGCTTAATTGGCTGAGCAAAAGGAAGGATTATGGCTAGGGATGCTTACCTAAAATGGCCATAAGGAAGTTTAAATTTTGAATCAGACTTGGAGCCAAAAGCCTTAGCAAGGGGGTGACATTCTTGAGGCTTAAAGGGCCGGTTTTTCTTGCATAAAAAGGTCGAAAGTTTGGGTTTTAATAAGTGGCTGAAAAATATCTCGAGTCCTTGCTTGGGAAAAAAAGGTAGAAAAAAGGCTAGAAAAAGGACTAGTACAGGAATTGCTGTTGGGCTTAAACTTTGGTACAATTTGTGTTTGGCGAGAGAATTAATAAAATTTGAAATAGTTTAAGTAGATGCGGATAGCTACATAATTCAATTAGCTTATTAGACTTAGTATAGAGCTAACAAAAATGAATGATATGAAATACAATGCACTCAAGAGTACAATAACTGAACTAATTCTTATTAATCGAACGAGACACTACTGTTTTTGGTATAAAATCGAACCGAACCGATTTTTCGGCCTGCAAGTCGGTTCTGGTTCGGTTTTACACTTTCTTATTCCCGAAATTGTCGGTTCGGTATCGTAAGTTCATATCGGTTCTGTTATTGAACAGATACCACCCCTTCCTATCATAATCACTCTTGTCCCAACCATTTGAGCTTTGACCCATACCAACATCAATTTGGCAATCTTGCCATACATGGTTTCAAGGGGACTCGAAAGATAAACTCCACAACTGATAATTAATATGAAAACTCAATAATACCTCGTACTTTTCCCGCTAACCCAAGAAGCAGGGTAAGAATATTCTGTGACGAGTAAAAGGAGCAGTGCGCTCTATGTCCATAATTGTACATAACTAGTACGTTACCCACGCGTTGCGTGGCCTAATATTAAAAATGGTGTGAATGAATGAAAATTTAATAGAAAAATATTTTTTAAAAAATTTAATGAGATAATGTAGAATAATTTTCGTTAATTTATTTAAAAATACTTTCACAAATACAACATCTATAATAGGTGATCTGTGTTTGTTATCACCAATAGTAATAACAATAATTAGGCAACATGGATCGTGACTCTAGAAACAATACAATTAACAAAAAAAGAAATTGTAAAATCCAATATAATTCATTTTAAAAAAATTTAAAATTAATTTTTTAAGCTTACAAAAATATGTGATATACCAATGAAAAAAAAAAAAAATTATTGGTCACATTAATGACACTTCTTCAAAATATTTCATAAAAATGTATATGTGATAACATAATTTTCATGGTTCAAAAAAGAAAATAAAGTAATGATTACTATTGTACAAATAAACTAATATTGAATATTAATGTTAACATGTACGAAGATGAAAAAATTCAAATATATAATACAAATAAAATATCTAATAAAAAAGAAAATAACTTCTATCTGCATGTATTTAATTTAAATTAAGTCTACATATTTTTTTTTTACTTTTTATTAACAAAATAAATCTCAACATATTTATTCACAAAATAAGTGCGATGGTGATTATAGAATGACGTGAAAGATTGATCATTTTTCATAAAGTCATAAATAGACTCATTAACTCAATATTAAAATATTTATTTTTTTCATGAAATTCATGAGAAATGTAATTCAATGTAATATTAAAATACTTATTTGTGCATAAAACCAATAAAAATTAACACTTTGAAAAATTTTGTAATGTAATACATAAAAAAAATTGAAATTATATTATATAAAATTGAAAAGAAATAAAATAAAATTAACATTATGATACATGATAAAGAAAAAGTAGTTGATGCATTATAATAAGTTTGTGGTTAACTTTATCTACTGCAACGTTCAATTGTGATAATATGATCTCATCATTCTCTTATGGAAAAAAAAAAACATTTTTGATAAGGACAAAAATTAAATGATAATTTCCCATTATGCTATTTTTATTTATAAAATTTTTTGCTGTAAAATTGTGTATTTTTTAAAATACTTATTATTATTATTATTGTTGTTGTTGTTATCATTATTATTATTATTGTTAATTATTATTATTATTTATTATTATTATTGCATGAAAATAATGAGAACTGTAATATATTAAAGTACTTAATTTTCCAGGAAATTGGTGAAAATGATAATTCAGTGTAATTTTTAGAAATAAAAATTGGCAAACTTTTTTGTAAAGTAATAAGAAAAAAAATTAAATTATATTATATAAAATATATTAAAAACGAATTATTGTGAAATTAATGTTTTGATATATGATAAGGAAAAAATAGTGGATTCATTATAATAAGTTGTGTTTAACTTTATCACTACAACATTCAGTTGGGATAATATACTCTCATCATTCTCTCATTAAAAAAAAAAAGATTTGTTTATAAACAAAAGTTAAACAATAATTGACACATTATGCTACTTTTATTATAAAATTTTTAGTTGTATAATTCTGTATTTATTATAAAAATTAAGCGTTGTCACTTTTCACCAACTTTTATATAACCTCAAATTTATGACAAATGAAATAAATAAAACAAATGGTTATCAGATATATTCAATCAATATGACCATACCAACTTTTATATAACCTCAAATTTAAGATCAAATGAAATAAATAAAATAAATGGTTATCAGATATATTCAATCAATATGATCATTTTGTCTTGTGAGTCAAAACTATATAAATACTTATTTTAACTCTCTTATTGTTGTTGAGACCCATCACTCTTTATGTTACCATTTTTTATTTTTATTTTTTACTCAAGTAAAGGTTATTCAACATTTTTTAGATCTATTTCATATGGATATGATATTTTTTCTTGAAAAATACATTTCTTTTAGTCGGAGAAATTATGTTATATATGATAAATATAACATCATTATTTTTTATTTCACTCTATTTGTATTTTATTTATTATTTAAGAAATTATATTATAAAATAAAATAAACAAAGCATGAAATTTGGTTACATTTTTGTTAAAAAAGAATGACACGTTGACTTGACTAACTCTTACTTCAACTCACATCAAAGTTTGTGAATTATGAGATATTTTACAATTTAAATTAAAAGATCTTGTTTTGGAATGAGGTAGTCAATACAAATAAATTAATGATCACTTGTAATTTTTTAGAATTATATAAAGATATAAAATAATACAATATTAAATTAATAAGAGATGGTTACAAATTTTCTTAATGTATATGTAAATTTCATCAATATATAGTATATGTTTCAAATGTACTATTACATATTTTTATGAAAATATATGAACATGTATATGTTAAAATAAACAATGACGAATTTAAATTGACATATCAAATCTAAAAATTTATCTATATATATGCATATAGATGTCAAATTAAAAGCTATAAAAATATTTGTTTCTTATGTTACATATATATATCATATTAGTTATGATTTTTTCTATTTTACCTTGAAATATACCCAATATAACCGAAAACATAATATTGTGTTTGATGTTTCAATAAAAATAATAATTAAATAAATTTTTTGACTTGAAATTTTATTTTAGTGATTAATTAAATAATATTGAATATTTATTATAAAATATATTATAAAAGGAAAGAAACTCATACTCACAAACGGGAAGAGAGACAAATTATAAGTAAGATATCGGGATGAGAATTCATAATATAATTATGTATAATATTAAACATTATTTGTAACAAATAATTGATTACGAAAAAAGTACATAATAAGGATTTGTATAATAATTAATTATGACTAAAATAAGTATTTATTTGTAACACATATTTATGATATTGTTTGAATGGTAAATAATACATAAAAATTAACAAAATTTATTTCATGGTAATAGATATAGTTAAAGCATTTGTTTAGTTAAGAAAAATTGAAGTGCAAATTCCAATACAATTATGATAGTATAAATTAATTGTTTAAATGACATAAATATTTTTTGTTGATAAATCATGCATAGAAATTGATAAAATTTATTACAATATATTAAATGTAGTTTTGGAGGGAAATTTTGAGCTGCTTTGGTTTAATATATATATAGATGCTAAAATCAATACATCCCCAAAGCCTCCAACCTGACTAAAACACAAGTCCATCGACAAACGTGTACGCTCCCTCAGTCTAACTAAAAATACAGAAAATCTTCACCCGAGAAGTGCAATCGCCCGAGCAGAAAAGACCAGAAACAATGGCCAGCCAGAAAGACAGTCATAGCATCTCGGCCTCCTTCAAGGCAGCCACCCTCGCATTCTCTCGGTCCTGCTTGAACGTCCAGTACAGGGGTGTGTAGAAGAGGGCGCACAGCCCAAACGGGACAACCATCATGGCCAGCAGGCCCCTCGACAGGGCCATGGCCTCCCGGGCCGACCCAAGGACGGGGTCCACCGTCTTGGTATCATACCCGTACATCTTCTCCGAAAGAATTCCCACAATAGGGGCAGCAAATGATGAGAAGGAGACCTCGAAGGCGCGGTCAAAGGCGTAGATCATGGTGCGGTGGCCGGCAGGGACCACCTCGGCAAACATGGGCCCGTTAGTGGCGGTGGCGCACCAGCTGATGGTGATGCCCATCAGGAAGAGGGTGACGGCATAAGTGTTGTAGCTGGACACCTGCTGAGGGATGGCCCGCAGAAGGATTAGCGAGAACGGGATGCCCATTGAAGCACTGAACTGGGCACACATAATGCGTCCCGAGTGGGGGTATTTTCGGGACAAACGGTCCGCGATCACACCCCCAACGAAGGAGCCTACGGCGCACCCGGCCGCAAATAGGCCTACCAGGGTGGCTGAGCTGTTGTGGTCGAAACCTATAGAAATGGAAAATTTAATTTTTAAAATAAGAAAACGGAAAAAGTTGATTGACCGGAAAAGTAAAACTTTGAATTGGAGAAAGATTTACCGATTAATTCGAACCACAGGGTGATGAAGACAATGGCTGTCCAAGGCACTGAGCCGACGAGGCCCTGTAAAACAATGAACTGAAAGGTCGGCACCTTGATCACGGTTTTCATGGCTGTCCAGGACTCGTACCATATTGCTGCTGTTCTTGTACTCCTATTTTCTACCAAATTTTCCCTGTAAACAACAAATCACTCAAATTTTAGGATTATGCTTCTCCTGTTCCACAATCCTTTAGGGGTGACAGTATGAAGGGACTCGGAAGAAATATATTTGATTAGAAAAAATACACTCAAATAGTTCAGTTCAATTATTAACTAATTAATATTAACTTTCTACCATTTCCACCTTCAAGAGGAGCTTTTAACCATATACAACCCAGGGAGACTATATCTTAAGGAGAGCATTTGTCATTTTCAAAGATACGAGAGGAACTATCCGTGATCAAGCCAAAACCTCACCGGGCAGTGTCCACAAAAAAAAAAATAAATAAATAAAAAACCAAAGAAACAATATACCAAAAATAAAAGAGCAAGCCTCAGTAGAAGTCCAAATACCTCTCGGATACCTTGCCCGTATCATGAGCACCTCCACCAATCCTCCTCGGGTCAACCACAAACTGGAAAACAAGGAACCCAATCAAACAACTCAAAGCCCCCATCATCACAAACGCGCACCGCCATCCCTGCACGCCCAAAAAATCATACCCCGCCATCACAGTAGCAATAGCCCCACCCCCAATACCTCCCACAGTCCCCACCAGATTCAAAAACCCGAACCCGGCCCCCCTCACTCCATCCTTGTAGCTGTCCGCAATAAAAGACTGAAGGGCCGGGATCACAATAGCCAGCCCGAACCCGTTCACAGCCCGCCAGAAGGCGACCTGTAGGAAGAACCTGCTGGCCCCCACAGCCGCAGTCGACAGGGCCCAGCAGAAGATGCCAATCGCGAGTACTGTGGGCCTGTCGTAATTTATGGCCAGCACGCCGGCAAGTGGGGACGAGAGGCCTTGCACGAAGTTTCGCGTGAATGTGAGGTAACCGAGATCGGCGGGCCCAGCTGAGAATGCCTCGCTGACTTCTTTGTAGACGGCCGGGAGGAGGTTCTCGTCCGCGCGCTCCATGATTGAAGCCATGTTGATGATGATGAGAGAAAGGGAGATTCCGAAGAGTGTTCTTGTCCTGATCAGACGAGAATTTGCAGTTTTTTCACATATTTCGAATGAATGCAAATGACAATTGAAAGTCGAAGATTAATGATTAATACTAAGGAACATACTGGGAAGAGTAACTATGACAATAAGTTAGATATATAAAAACCATTACTACCAATTTAAGGTTGTTCAATCAATTTTGAAGCTTTTATTAGCAATCACTACCAATTTCTTATTCTCAACTGCATCCATTCCTGCTGTGCTAATATGTAAGTATGAAATTTTTGCACACGCTCCCATTACCATAGGACGTTTTAGATGAACTAATTCGGCATATACTATGTTTCTCCCACTTCCGACACAAATTAAACGAAGGATCTTAAACACAAGAACTAACTCATCCAGATAACAACGAACGAATTTCACCAAGATCTATGTAACTGGAAAAAGTCAATAACAATGGCAGAACTCATGCTTATCCATATCAGATCACAAATCAACTGTCGGGACGAAAAAAACGGACGGACAAAAAGCAAAGAACAGAATCGGAAAAAACTCACTTCATGTTGGCAAGATTCCTCGGAAACAGATTATCGGATCCTATGTAAGCAGGCCCGCGAAACCGTAATCTTGATCTGAGGCTAAATCCCATAAAAATATGAATTAAAGCTGTTGGGGTCCCTGTTATTGCTCCTCCGTGGCGGATCTACAACGGCCGCCGGACTCATCTGCCCGAACGCGATGACGGCGATGATATGCTTCGAGCATTGACCAACCGGTGGAGACTCTTCAAAAGCCCCGAATGAAAAAAGTATTATACGCCAATTTACACGTGTGATAAGAAATATCCGTTTCGCATTAAATGATGAGTCCGAGAAAAATAAGGAACGCGACAAGATCGAAAGAGAATACGAGGACGTGTGTAAACCAAACTGGTAAGAACGGCAGATGGTCAAAAGCATAAAACAGAAGTAAAATCGGTGTGTATGGCGTGGAGGAAGTAAGATACAGTAGGAAATTTTTAATCGGCCATGGGCATTTGTCGCGTCTGGTGGTTTGTGATTGGATGGCGATTTGGAGATAAGTATTCGAGATTTCGAGGTGCAAAAGTACAGTGCCACAATTTCATTTTTAGTTTATTCTTTTTCAATAGACAAACTTACTTACATTAATTTAAAAAATTTATAAGTAAGATACATTAATTCTTAGTGGCAGAATAAAATTGGTCGTTATTTTTTTTTTATTTTTTTTTCGACCTATTTTTGAAGGCCTTATCATGTCTATTTTCATGTGGGAGATTCACCTTGAATTCTTCTCTTCAAGACCGTCATCCATTGTGCTACAAAGGACAGACTGGTGTGGCATTGGGGCAAAAAAGGAGAGCTTACTGTGAAAGAGGTATACAAGAACATCATGGACAGCCACTCAAGAGCACATGAGCAAAATCTTAGTATTTGTTCTGGAAAAAGTGTTATGTTAAGAATGTGAGACTTTACTTGAAGACTACCAATTTACAGGAAGATGAGCCTATCAACGTACCTGATGTGGACTCTATGGAAGGCTAGGAGGGTTTTTCAGAAAGAACTCACTACATATAGGGAGATAGTGGAGAAAGCAAGGAGGGCTTAGGGTGAGTACTTAGATAATAACCCCAGGAAGAAGGAATGAGAAGCAGTGGCTGGGAAGGAGGTAGAGGAAAACCAGTGTGACCCTGAAATTGCAGTAGGACAACTATGTATGTTTTCAGTGTTTGCTCTACAGTTCAGGGTCAAATTGGCAGAGGGTATGTGGCAAGGAAGAAGACCAAGATTTTGAAAACATGGACTGCTATAGAGGGAGCTCTGAGACAGAGGAAGAAGATCAACTAGCAAACATCAGGTGGGGATTGGAGAAGGCAAGAGAGCAGCATTGGACCCATTTTATGTGTTTGACTGATCAAAAAGCCATTCTGATGAAGCTGCTTTCAGGCTCAGGTTTCTCTCCTCATTTGGAAACTATTGTTAAGGATATTTTACATTTAGCCTCGGTTTGTTCTTGTTCTTTTTCTTTTTTTACTTGGGGTAGCTTATGTTATTTAGCTAGATCTTTGGCCATTAAGGCTGTGAAGGGAAATCAGATGTGATTGATCCGGAAAACCTACTTTGAGCTTGTTGTTCGAAGTAGCTTTTGTAACCATTTGGTTAATCGGTTGTGATTGGACTATTTCTATGAGTTATATCTAAGTTGTTTATCTTTTTTTTTTTTTTAAAAAAAAAAGACAGTCATCCATAAACTTTTGGCTCAATTATAGTTCGTTTCGCCCACTCAATTTTTCATCTAAAAATATTTGGGTGATTTTTGTTTGTACAACGCCATGTAGCTTCAGATTTGGAATGGTGACCCACCATCAGATTCTTCTTATCGAACTGGTTATACCCACAAAATTTGATCTCACTTGGAATTCATTTGTCTGTTCAAATTGACATCCAAAATAACTTTGGCCCAAAATTCAATTTTATCTTTTTAGGGACCATTTTGGTGTCTTATAGCATACATTTTAGTCGGGTGACTCACCATTTGAATTGTCTCATCAATAGGTAGTAAGAACAAATTTGTAATTCAATTAGATTTTCATTTGTTCGCTCAATTTTTTGTCCAGAATAATTTGAATTGTTCTATTTCCAGTCTAATTCTAGTTTTGTCTCACATTAGTTTCAAGTATGGGATCCACCTGTTAATTTTCTACTTGAGACGGTCATATACCCAAAAGTTTAAACCAATTAGAGTATTTTCAGTTTATCCTCGAAAGTTATATGCACAAACTACATTTTCTGCAATAATCAGCCTGCACCAAGCCCGTGATAATCCAGGCCTTTATCGTGCCATTTATGATTAACGTACTTTTTTTAATATATTTTTTTAATTTAATTTACTAAGTTTAATGTCTAAAAAAAAGTGGACATTTACTGGATAGATACCAATATAATCGATTAAAAATGAAATTTTGTTGTGTAGTGTCAAATTTCGCATTTAAATATGTAGGTGGGTGGACTTTATGAGCCTCTGAAGGGTTATAGGGCTGCATAATATCATGTGGAGGTGTGTGGACTTTGTGAGCCTCCGAAGGGTTCTAGGACTGCATAATATCATGGTTTGGAGGGACAATTATTAAATGAATAATGTCATGTTGACATAATGCATATTTATTATATGAGTAATGCTACAAGTGCATAACATTGTACATAAGGATGTACATAACACTCACATTGAGTGGGGCTCACCAAAAATAAAAAACTAAGTGGACTCCACTCTATGTGAGTGTTATGTACATCTCTATGTACTTTTATTATGTACTATTAGCATTTTTCTTATTATATAATGTTATTTTGATATATTGTATTTCGCATAATGGTTTACATAATGATGTGTAAGTATTTTGAATTGTTGTTTTAATGGTGATGTGAAATGTAAAATCACAATATTGCTACATGTGTATCATGTCAAAATTTATGTTTTGAGTAGCATAATCCCATACATAATGATGTGTAAGTATTTTGAATTGTTGTTTTAAAAGTAATGTGATATGTAAAATTACACTATTGTTACATGTGTATCATGTCAAAATTTATGTGAACACGTATGTTTGTGTAGCATAATCCCTTTTTTATATACAGAACGCCCTAAGCTTAACTGGCAGCTTCGCACGCTTCTTTATTTTATGTGGCAAGATATTACACTTTGTAATATGGCTCGAATTAACATTACTATTTTTTATACCAAATGGCTTAGGTTTGGATTGCCATAAATACACATATTTAATATATTTAAACTATTCAATATAAATCTTATTATGAACTTATTTCTATAATGTGCATACTGTTGGGACCGTTGAAGATTTCGTTAAGTACAAGTTATAAATTAAACAACAATAATAAACCTATGTGCAGCGGATACTAATGGTTTAAAGTTGAAGACTTACAACTTAAAATTTGCAGACTCTGAGACACTATTGTTTCAGTTGATGGAGATCGTCATATTTTCTATAGGCTGAAAATCACCTCGTTCGGATGTCTCGGAGTCGCCGGGAACGTCGTACGGTCAGACAATGTCGCCTGGGTTGTGCGCTTGCGGATGCGGGAGCGCGGTCTGTGGTTAGATCACGCGAGATTGTCGTGGGTCTGCGGCGTGCGGGAGCAGCAATCGAGTCAAGCACCCGGGGTCGTCGTGACTGCATCTCAGTTGCTTGCATGCGGGGGTTCGATCATGTGCAGTGGCTTGCGGGGTAATGCACGGATGATCGTCGGGGTCTACTAAACCTCAAAGACTTTTGTTGTATGACCAACACCTCTTTGGTTATCTCTGTGTAGAAACAAATCTCAGAGATAATCTCTCGGGAACAAGGTGGGTAGCTCGTGCATATGTTTATGCTTCAGTCGTGTCTTCTATCCCAAGAGATACATGATGTATTTATAGGGCTAAAACAGGGACCCTAAGAAGGTGATGTGGGCTTCTTAATTATTGGGTCTCATTGTGGGCCAAGCTCACTCTGCTCAAATAACTTAAATAATGTTTCGGTACACTAACAAAACATTATTCCACTCCGTCATCGTCCTCGAATTATATTCGATACTCCAATTATAATTGCATGAATTACCTCCTCACATTTAAGATAAAATGTCCATTAATTAATACGATTACTGACAATTAAGAATTAATCGACATCTTGAACTGAAGCTAGTACCGCTCAAATCGTTATTATTATGTCATAATGTAATTTGCAGGGTTTAACATAATAATCCTTCATAAGCTCACTTTGGGGATATCATCAAACTAACGCACATGGTGACCACAAATATTCTAACAGTACTGTTGATGGTAGGATCCGATCAACGGTTAATAAATAAAAAGTAGTAAAAAGGATAAGAGGATAGAGATTTACGAGATAAATGGATTTTATCACTTAATTACGAGTTCAGCCTTTGATATTAACGAGGACACTCTTGTTATACTTTGAGGATATTCACGAAAAATTATTACAGATTGAGTGAGTAAATTTAGAGAGAGAAATAGTTGGTGGCAGATTCAACATCCCTTAATAATTGAAGGTCAGATTCTATTTATAATAGCCTTCATTTGGCACTGTTCATATATTGTTCACTCTGTCTTGTCACACAGTGTTATGGAGTGACAGGTCGGTGCTGCTCTGACAAATATTAAAATTGATTTGAGGTTGTTCCAATGATTATGTGTTAGAAATTAAATGCTCAAATGTGGGGGATTTAATGCTGTCAGATCTTTTTATCGAGCTAAATGCCCTAGGGTAACAGGCTAGAATGGCTCGTCCCATCGGCAGTTATTGGCTGACAAGTGGCAATATTTTAACAATTCCTAGTCACGTGTGCATACGGAAGCCGGCTCCACAGAATCTTAAGGTCGGACTTTCACCATTCTTTTGTTCCCTGGTCTCCGAGGTTTTGTTTTTCTGTTCGGCGTATGCAGAGGTCGGCCTCGTCACTAGGTTGTTAAGGTGCCAATCTCAGGGGTCGTGTTGTTCATCAACCCCATAAATTTTGTTTTCTAGTTAGCTCAACATTTCGTAGCAACCCAGACACCGGTCCTGGTTTTGAGATCGGCTTACCCCGGTCCATTGTCTTTGATTCGTGAATTCCAAGT